GCAATAAATACAAATTAAACAACGTCTGTAAGGAAGTACCTAAGCCCTGTGTGTGGGAAATGATCACAATCCCAGCACTGGGAAGGCAGAAGCAGGAGGATCAGGAGTTCAAGGCCATTCTCGGCTATGGGGTGAGTTTAAGGCAGTCTAGGCTGCATGAGACTTGTCTCAAAAAGCCAAAAAAAGATTATTGAGGGGAGTCTAAATGAGGGAGAGGCCTAGTCCAATGATCACTTTGAAAGGCTGTTCTGTTGTGCGAAGAATGGATGAGGGCCAGGTGGAGAGAAGCTGTCATGGCCGACTGGGTGATAGGTGATCCTGGTTTAGGCCAAGGAGTTCACCATAATACAGACACGGAAAAGCAGAGACTTGAAGGCAGCCGAGGGGACCAGGTAAAGAAATAAAAGGCTGTGGCCACCGAGGGAAAGGGCGTTAGAGACTGTGTAATGTGACGTTAACAGCCTGAGTGACAGACAGGTGGCAGTGATGCTCTTTAACAGACGGGCCCAGGGAGGCAAAGCCCTGGGCTGATGCAGGCGTGAAGCCCATTTACTGACTACAGCATCCCTGCTTTTGGGGGATTCATAGAGTGTTGGGAGAGGTGCAGATAGGGGGTGGGGTGATCATCCCAGTTCTAGCTACCAGTCTTGTTTCTTGTCAGGATCCATGGTAGCATAATTAGCTGTGAGCTTACTGGGCCCCACACTTTGTAATGGCTGAGTTCACGCAGATTAGCAGAACCAAGACATCGAGGGCAGGGCATACTCTCCAAAGGCATCATCACAGGGACCATGTTTTTTTGTTTTTTTGTTTTCTCGAGGCAGGGTTTCTCTGTAGCTTTGGAGCCCGTTCTGGAACTAGCTCTTGTAGACCAGGCTAGCCTCGAACTCACAGAGATCCACCCGCCTCTGCCTCCTGAGTGCTGGAATTAAAGGCGTGCGCCACCACCGCCCGGCTAACAAAGACCATGTTTTACAAGGCTCCTGGGGGCAGGATAAGGATGGGTGGTTAGAACTTCTCAGGAACTTGGTTTCAGGAGAGTATGAGGGAGTACAAGCACTGTCTAGCTTAAAAATAAGGATGGCGGGGCTGGAGAGATGGCCCAGCTGTTAAGAGCACAGGCTGCTCTTCCAGATGACACAGGTTTGATACCCATACCCACATGGCAGCTCATAACTGTCTACAACCCAAGAAGGGATCCAGAACCCTCTTTTGGCCTCTTTGGGCATCAGGCATACATGCAGACATACAAACACCCATATACCTACCTACCTACCTACCTAGCTAACTAACTAAGGGATATGAAAGTATGGGGCTCAGGGAAACGGCACAGTGGTTAAGAGCACATCCTGCTCTTGTAGAGGTCTTGAGTGCAGTTCCCAGCACCCGCAGGGCAGCTTACACCTGTCTGTAGCTCCAATTCCAGGGCTTCTGACACCCTCACACAGACATCCATGCAGGCAAAACGCCAATGAACATAAAATTAAAGAAAAAATTGAGGACGGCATTGTCTGACTTAGAGGTGGTGAAGTGTGACTGGAGGTTTTCTCTGTCTCGCCTAGCCCCACTGGACCGGTTTCTCTCACCCACCTGTTCCTGAATGACCACTTAGAGGCTTCATATCAGTTACAACTGATGGCTCAGGCCTCTTTGTGGTTAGCTGTAACTAAAAATTAACTCATTTCTTTTAGTTTATATTTTTGTCATGAGGTTCGTGGCTTGCCGCTAACGTTTGGATCTCTTTCTCCTTTTGGTGGCGACATGGCATCGTCTCAACTCTGCCTACTCTCCTCTGTATCTTTGTTTTGGTCGAGCTTTATTCTGCTAAGTCATTGGTCGAAACAGCTTTATTCATCAATCAATAAAAACAACACGTAGCCGGGCAGTGGTGACGCACGCCTTTAATCCCAGCACTCGGGAGGCAGAGCCAGGCGGATCTCTGGGAGTTCGAGGCCAGCCTGGTCTACAAGAGCTAGTTCCAGGACAGGCACCAAAGCTACAGAGAAACCCTGTCTCGAAAAACCAAAAAAAAAAAAAAACAAACAAACAAAAAAAACCAACATGTATACCGAAGGCCATCCCACAGCAGTGACATCCCATTACGTTTGTGTTTGAGCTGACAGGAATTATTTATTTGACATGGATTTGAGCTATGAAGGAGGATGGCAGTGCCGAGCAGTGATCAAAGGGGATGCCCTCTGACCCCAGCCTGCCTCCCAAGAGGTCTGTTCCTTGCTTCTGAAATTTTCCAAAGTTCTAGGGGCTCAAGGGAAGCTGGGCTAGGGGAGAGCAGAGGTAAGATCTCTACTAAGTCTGAAGAGCAGGGAGGAGCGGAGTCTCCTGGCCTTCATCCCATCAGAGCCAAGCTCATTAGAACGGTGACACGTGGTAGGTACGGTGTCCCTCTTTTTAGGTTCATTGTTCAACTCTGTGAGAAGTTGGTGACTGTGGAATTTCCCTCTGGGGTGATTTCCATATACAGCTCTCTCAATGGTGGAGGAAATTTTACTTTTGTCAAGCGTATTGCAGTGTTTGTCAAGTAGATGATGAGTAGGTGTAGTGAGATACCTCCAGTAGTTCTAGTAACCTTGTTTTCCAAATTAAAAAAAAAAATCAGGGTATGTAGTTTTGATATGACATCATACCAACACAACATTCCTGTGCGGGACAATCCCAGGACACGGGACTATTATGACTCATCTTTGGGGTCCAGCGCTTGCTCTCTCCATCTCGGCAGACTCTCTGGAGCCAGCCATGTGCTGTCATGCATAGCCTGCTGCTTTCGAGGCTCTGGGCTAGGCATATTTTGGTTTTCTACAAAACTTTTAATTGCTCATCATCTCTCTCCCGCATTTAAAGAACGGCAATGATTCATGGTGAGTTTAGTTTGGCTTGGATGTAGTCTTCTTTGGGTGTGCCTGCTCCCGGGGCCAAGTTGCCTGCATCTTTTAGGGATGGCGTATTAGAATGCAATTCATTGCAAGCCAGGCCTGAGTTTTGTCCTCAGCTGCTGGCTTACTCTAGTTCCGGGTCGGCCCCACTCTCTTCTCTGGATTCTCAGCAGTGATGAAGGGCACATCTAGAATGTCTTCAGCCATGGACAACAGAACATCTACAGAACAGTGATTCACTGCCCCCACTCTACAAGAATTCTGAGGTGGGTGTCAGAGCTGCCATGGCAACTCAATGATGCTACCAAGAAGAAAGCATCTCCCTCTCCCCTTGCCAGTCCTTGACTTTGCCCTCATGCTAGTGGCTTCCTACTTCAAAGAAGGCTTCCTTTCATCTCCACAGCATGTATGTCTCCGAAAGAAAGAAGCGAAGTGGCAGTTTGTATCAAGAATATGAAAGCAGGGACTGGAGGGATGGCTCAGAGGTTAAGAACACTGGCTGCTCTTTTAGAGGATGCGGGTTCAATTCCCAGCACCCGCAAGGCCGCTCATAACTATCTGTAACTCTAGTTCCAGGGGATCTGACAGCCTCACACAAACATACATGTAGGCAAAACACCAATACACATAAAATAAAATTAAATTGTTAAAAAAGGGTACAGAAACTTCTTAGTTTGTGGTCATCTCTAGTTCAAAAAATATGGAGGAAGTGATTCGTTTGGACTAAATTTATTGCTTCTCAGACCAGACCTGTTTTTTAAAGTTTATTATTTATTTTTTTCTTTTTTGAGACAGGGTTTCTCTGTATCTCTGGAGCCTGTCCTGGAACTAGCTCTTGTAGACCAGGCTGGCCTCAAACTCACAAAAATCTGCCTGCCTCTGCCTCCTGAGTGCTGGGATTAAAGGTGTGCGCCACCAATGCCTGGCTCAGGCTTGGGGTTTTAAGAATGACCCTCATTTACAGTATAGCAAACTGTCCCCAGATACAGTGACCTGATTCCTCATCACATCCATGAGGGTGGCCCAGGCTCTGCTGGGTAGTTCATCTCCCCGTGCGGTGTAGTTGAGGTCATTCATGCGTGCAGCTTCGAGCTCAACAGAATGTCTGGGTTAAGATTTCTTGTTTACATTTATTTGTTTTTTTTTTTTTTGTTTCTCTCCCTGTCCTGGAACTCACTCTGTAGACCAGGCTGTCCTTGATCTCAGAGATTCACCTGCCTCTGCCTCTGTTGGGATTAAAGGTGTGTGCCACCACTGCCCAGCGTATTTATTTTAATGAATTAATCAACTAATTTGCATATTTCTGCATATCTCTGTGTATGTGCACAGCGTGTGGAGGCCAGAAGTCAACATGGAGGGCGAGTCCTCAGGAGCTGTCCACCTTGGGTGTTTTGAGTCAGGGTCTCACTTGCTGACTAGGCTTGGCTGACTGGCCTGTGAGCTCTTGGTGTCTGCCTATCTCTACCATTGCACTGCTGGCGCCGCCACACCCAGACTTCTCTGGGGATCAAATGCAGGAAAGCATGGCAAACATTTTACCAACTGAACCTCCTCTTTGCCCCCCCCCCCCCCGGGAATGTATTTCTCTTGTGTTCCTTGTCCACACTGCATCTCATCACACCACAGGGTAGCTCAAGCTGCTTTGTCGCACCCTGGCTGGCTTCTGAGAGGGGCATTCCAAGAGGACAGGCCCCTACAGGCAGGTGCTCTTAAGTCTCTGCTTGCATTAGGCTTGCTAATGCCCCTGTGGTAAAGGTAAGTCATAGGGTGAAGCCTAAGTCAGTATGGAAAGGGACTTCACCAGGGCACAAATCCCAGGAGATATAGTTGGTTGGTGCCAAGCACTGTATGTCTGTCACAGTATGAAAGAAGGGAGAGTGAGCATGAAGTATGTAATTCGTGTGTTTGCTACAGTGGATTAGAGCTAATCAGTGTTTTTCCATACTGCAAGCACCAGAACCAATATGGCTCATGGCCATAAGACAAGGAATGGATGTAGAATATTAAGGAGTGTTGCATATTAAAGTCTCTATTTACACCCACTGAAAAACGCATTTTATGTTCCTGGCTTGAGCACCTCTGAGTTTCAATGCTTTGATTCTGTGGCAGACTTAAGTGGTGGATGTCCTGCTGACCCTCTTCCATGCGAGGAGCTGTGTGACGGGGACACATCTTGTCCCCAGGGACACAAGTGCTGCAGCACTGGCTGTGGCCATGCCTGCCGAGGAGACATCCAGGGAGGTATGTTGGTTCTTTGGGAGGAGAGCCACAAGTGCCCGTTGGGTACCAGGTAAGCTTGGAGGAGCTTCCTGTGGACGCTTTCCTGGGGGAGCTTGTTGTTATCTTTACACCCCTCGGTCTCCATCCCAATGGAACCCTTCCTTCTAGGGTTAAAGGTTAACGCTGGCATGGAAAGAGCTAGAGGAGGGAGGTGTGGTAACGAAGCTTCTGTCTGGGCTCTGCTGTGGGTATGCTTTGTGACTGGGATAAATAATCCCCTCTTTTGGGGCCTGCTTCCTCTGTCCAGTAAAGTTGCCCAATATCACTGGTTGTTTGGATCAATTTTTGTTTGTTTTTGAGATAGGGTCTCATTATGTAGTCCAGGTTGGCCTTAAACTCAGAACCCTGGCTTAATCCCCATGAGCTGGTTTTACAGGTCTGAGATACTGCTCTCAGATCTCTCTCTCTCTCTCCCCTCTCCTTTTCTTCCTCCCTTCCTCCCCTCTCTCTCTTTCAACCTCTGTTTATTTGTTTTTGTTTTTTAGACAGGGTCTCAGGTAACCCAGGCTGACTGAACTTTCCCTTTAGCTCAAGATGACCTTGAACTTCTGACCTTCCTATTTGTATCACCTGCTTGCAGGGGTCCCAGGCGTGAGCCACCAAGTCCAGTTTATGCACTGCTGGGGACTGAACCCAGGCCTTCTCGGCTGTTGAGCAAACACTGTGTATTTGCTGAGCTACATTCCCAGCCTATTAGTTTGTTTATGTTCCCAGGCAATGCCCACCCCTTTGTCTGTACGTCCGTCCATGCAGCTTGTTAGGAAAGACAAGTGAGTTACAGATGCCCCTTGACTGTGATAAGGCCTGACCTGACAAATCCACAGGAAATGGCAAATCTTGTAAGTGGAAAGTCTATTTGATAATCTTGTCTTAGTTACTGTTGCTGTGATGAAACACCATGGCCAAAAACAAATTGGGGAGGAAAGGGTTTCTTTGGTTTACAGTTCCACATTGTAGTCCATCAAGGAAGGAAGTCAGGGCAGAACTTCAAACAAGGCAGGATCCTGGAGGCAGAAACTGATGCAGAGGCCATGAAGGGTGCTGCTCCCTGGCTTGCTCCCCATGGTTTTCCCAGTCTGCTATTTTCTTTTTCTTTTTAAATTTTATTTGACTTTATTTCATGTGCATTGGTATAACGATGTCAGAGTCTCTTGAACTGGAGTTACAGACAGCTGTGAGCTGCCATGTGGGTGCTGGGAATTGAACTCAGGTCCTTTGGAGGAGCAGTCAGTGCCCTTAACCACTGAGCCATCTCACCAGCCCCTATTTTATTTTGTTTTTTTTTTTCAAGGGTTTCTCTGTGTAGTCCTGACTGTCCTAGAACTTGCTCTATAGACCAGGGTGGCCTCCAATTTACAGAGATCTGCCTGCCTCTGCCTCCTGAGTGCATGCAACACCATGCCCAGCTCAGCCTGCTTTATTATAGAACCCAGACTGCCAGCCCAGGGATGGTACCACCCAGAATGGGCTGAGCCTTTCCACGTCAATCACTAATTAGGAAAATGCCTTACAGCCAGATCTTATGGAGACATTTCTCAGGTAAGGTTTCCTCCTTTCAGAATACTCTAGCCTGTATCAAGTTGGCATAAACTCTAGCCAGCAGAGCTCTCAACCCGCAAAACCCTTCTACCTTTGCAATACACAGAACCCACTGTAGCATGTCAGTTGTAGGCCATGGTAGTCCAGGCGGGCTGCGAGCTGTGACTGCCGCCACCCAACACGGAAAGCAAGTATTGCATATTGCTGATCTGGGAAAAGAGGGAAGCTGAATATTTATTATAAAGGAGCTTTTCTCCCGAATCTGTACCATTCTTGTACCCTTGAGAAACGATACTATGACAAGTACATGTACACACACACATATCACATATATACATGCACACCCCCACATACATACACGTACTTACACACATAATACACTACTCACATACCACACATACAACACATACTACATATACCAAATAAATACACCACACACACTATGCATATACCACAAGCACACACATGTACACAGGATTAGGGTGGCACAAAGAAGGGGCATAAAACTTCTAGGGTGGCAGATGAGGCATTGACATGAAATTCAGTCGTGGGGGAAAGCAGGACCTTGTCTCTCTGCTTTTGGCTCTACTGGCATGTCTGCATTCTATCAGCCCCTAAAAGTGGGCTTTGGGAGCTTTCTAAGTCCTATGTCAGAGGTGTTTGGCTGTGTAGTGTCTCAGTCCTCCAGAGTCCCTGCTTCCAGCCACGCCTAGTTGGGAGTCAGGGTTGGTTCCCCTGGGCCCTGAATCTAAAAGTTGTAGATGGAAATTTGGGAAGAGAGGAGCCAGCTCTCCGTCTTTCCCTGTGCTGGTGTTCTCCACAGGGCGGGATGGCCATTGTCCCAGAATCCTGGTGGGCCTGTGTATTGTCAACTGCATGGTGGATGAGAACTGTCAACCTGGGGAAAAGTGCTGCAAGTCAGGCTGTGGCCGCTTCTGCATCCCCCGGCTCCAGTCACTCAAACCGCTCACAGACTCCAACGGGACCGATGGGGCTAATCCTAAATTAGGTGAGTATTGCCCATGATGACCTTTGACCGGCTATGAAGTTGACAGTTTACACTCCCCTGTTAGCTACTGGGAAGGCGGCTTCTGAAGGCCATGAAGAATGTAGTTAGGGAGAAAGATCCTGAGTCACACACCACACCCTTCATATGGACTGGTGGGATTACTGTGCTTACAGTGGGCGTGGCTCTCTGTGGTAGAGGCTCTCTGTGGTAGAGATAGGAGGACTGGGGGCAGGGCAACAAAACAGATTGTATCTGTACCGAGCAGATGCCATTCCTTATTTGATAACCGGACATTGAGGGGCCAACTTCTAAGTGGCAAGAGTCTTCAGGGCCAGTTAGGAAGTCCATCAAGGCTCCCAGGGCGGAAGGGAAATGGCTGGGCAGGGGAGCCCGAAAGGCATCACTGTGACCTGAAAGGTCTTCTCATTGCAGAGGCTGGAGCATCCTAGCTGTCCTGACTGTCTGGGGCTCCAGAAATCTTCTGGAAGCCAAGAGGGGTGACGTCCTGGGGCTTGTGACATTCCCGCCATTATCAGCCCTTCTCTTCTTTGCTTTTACTGCTGCCTGGATCACATGGAAGAGCCCTGGGGACAGACACTTCTCTTTCCCAATAAAGTGCTGGCATGGACCCTCTTGTCTGTACTGTGCAGGGGCTCAGATGAGGATGGAGCTAGTGGGTTTGCCTGTGCGTGGCGCTGGCCTATGAAACCTATGGATTAAAGAAAGATAGCAGATTCCTTTTTTTAATGTAACACATATGAAGAAGAGTATTAATGTGCAACCTGAAATGATAGTTAAATAAATTAGTCATTGCAGGGAGCTCCAGTAAAAGGTTAATGTGTAACACCTTTGGCAATCTTGGACGAGTTTAGTCATCTTGGAAATAATACATCCTGACTTGTTTAATGCATATCAAGGGAAAGCAATTTTTTTTAAATGTTAAAAAATAGTAATTGCTCTGTGTGTGTGTATGCATGTGTATGTGTGTGTGTAAGTTGCATGTGCATGTGTGTGTGTAAGTTGCATGTGCACAGTGCACATGTAGGTTTCAGATGACAACTTTGAGAATTTGTTTCTCTCTTTCCACTGTGTGGGTTCTGGGGATGGAACTCAGGTCATCAGACTTGTATTCATCCCATTTCTTGCCAACTAGTCACCTCACATTTTAAAAAACCTTTCTACTTTCCTCTTCTGTTTTCTGTCAGATATTAAAAATGTCACTGTCTTATGCCAAGTGTGTTACAAGATTAGTTTTTGTTTGTTTTTTTTTTAATTTAGAAGTTTCATATAGCCCAGGTTAGCTTCAAATTTCTATGTAGCCTTGAACTCATCCCGATTTTCTTTTTTTCCTAAAGATTTTTAAAAATTTATTATGTATACAGTGTTTTGCCTGCGTAAATGGCTACATGCCAGAAGAGGGCACCAGATCTTACTATTGATGGTTGTGAGTCACCATGTGGTTTCTGGGAATTAAACTCAGGACCTTTGGAAGAGCAATCAGTACTCTTAATCTCTGAGCCTTCTCTCCAGCCTGAATCCCTGACCTGCTTATGCCCACTTCCCCAGTGCTGGGATTATAGGTGTGCACCACCATTTCCTGCTTGGGTTTTCATTCATTCTACTTACTCACAGTGTGTTTCCACTGTACTTGGCTGATCTTTGACACAGTTTCTGACTCTTCCACTTTTTCACAAACTAATCAGCATGTTAGGTTCAAAATGCTTAGATTTCCTCAAGATGGCAGTATCATACCTAACTCTACTAGACGTCCATGCAATGGCTAATTTATTTGACTAGTTATCCCATATTGGACACTGATACTTTTATACACATGCACACATGCGTGCGCACACACACATGCACACACACACACGCTTTATGTAACTTTTTGTTTTGTTATTCAAGATAGGGTTTCACTGTGTAGCCTTGGCTGTCCTGGACCTCAGTCTATAGACCAGGTTGGCCCCAAACTCGGAGATTCACCTGCCTCTGTCTCTTGAGTGCTGGGACCAAAGGTATGCACCACCACAGCCTAGCAAAATTCCAGTTTCTTAAATAGCTCCCCACATAACTCTCAATAAATATTTGAGTGAATGAAAGAATGAATGGAATTCTTAATATGTCAACTGAGAATTTTTGGGTTACAAAAATCCAATGAGGGGCTTGTTCAACAAAGATACAGCATGAAACAGCATGAAGCTGGCTCAGCAGCTCAAAGGCTCAGGCTTCGTCTTTGTGCTGGTGACCTCATCCCTTCACTGGTGACCTCATCCCTTTACTGACAACATAATCACTCCCCTGGCGACCGTATCACTTCACCTATGACTTCATCCCTTCACTGGTGACCACATCCCTTCACTGGTGACCACATCCCTTCACTGGTGACCACATCCCTTCACTGGTGACCTTATCCTTTCACTGGTGACCTCATCTTTTCACTGGTGACCTCATCCCTTCATTGTCACCTTATCCCTTCACTGGTGATCTCATCCCTTCACCGTCATCTCATCCCTTCGCTGGTGACCTCATCACTTCACTGGTGACCTCATCCCTCCACCGTCACCTCGTCCCTTCACTATGACCTCATCCCTTCACTGATGACATCATCACTTCGCTGGTGACCTCATTCCTTCACCGTCACTTCATCACTTCACAGGTACAGGAGGGTTGACGGAAACTCTAGATGGCATAGTAAGGTATTGATGGCAGGGCAGAAAGATCTTTAAATTTTTTTGTTTATTTATTTTTATTTTATGTGCATTGGTGTTTTGCCTTCATTTCATGTATGTCTGGGTGAGGGTGTCAGGTCTGGAACTGGAGTTAACCAGAGACAACTGTGAGCCACCCTGTGGTGCTGGGAATTGAACCCAGGTCCTCTAGAAGAGAAGTCAGTGCTCTTAACTGCTGTACCATCCATCCAGCCCCATGTAGAAAGATCTTTACTCCCCCCCCCCCACGCTGTGACTCTCTTCCTGTGACAGCCTCCTGAGAAGTTGCCTCGGAGAGGCTAGGGAAGCAGATGTTTGCAGAGGGAATGGCTTAGCTGTGCTTCGGACCTGGCATGAGGCATAAATCCAAGATTCCATCAGCGGAGAAGGGAAGAGCGCTGCCTGGCCCCCTGGGTAATACAGATGCTGTACTGGCTCAGGTACATGCAATTAAAATCAGGGTTGACATTGCTAGGTGTGGGCAGGTGAGATGGCTCCGAGTAAAAGTGTCTGCCCCCAGGTCTGCTGGCCTGAGTTCAGTCCTCTGGATTCACATGTGGAAGGGAAGAACCTGCTTCAGCAAACTGTTGACCTTTTCATACACGCATTGTGGCATGTATACCTAAGCATGAGCTCGCTCTCTCTCTCTCTCGCTCTCTCTCTCTCTCTCTCTCTCTCTCTCTCTCTCTCTCTTTCTCTCTCTCACACACAATGTAATAAATATAAAAAAATGCCAGGTAAAATTCTGGATATTACTGTGTTGAGAACACTCATTTTTCTGAGCAGCCTTGTGTTGGAGCTGGATGATCTGATGACAAGTGGCCACACTGTGCCATGAGCTTTACGGTGGCTGGTCCAAAGACAGTCATGACTCTGAGAAGGGCTGGTGTCTGACAGACTGCTGACCAGTTGCTGAGATCCCTCTTCCACTATTTTGTTTATAATTTTATTGTTTACTTAAACATCCAAATAAAAAAGCAAGTGTTTTTCTTTCAAGATGGAGTGTTGCTTGTGTTGCTCAGACTGGCCTTGAACTCAAAGGCTCAAGGGATTCTCTTGTCTCCTGAGCCCCCAAGTGCATGGCACCTTGTCTAGCTTTATGCATATAATTTAAAAAGCAATATGAATAGATTCTTCAGCGAGAGCAGTTGAGGCTGTCCGCCCCAGGACCTTCAGATGCTGTAAGGTGGTTTTCTTCCAGATGAGGACGGGACTGAAGGGTGGAGCCGGTGAGCCAGATCTCTTCTTCCACCAGATGGGGGCTATCCTGTGTAGCTTGTGTCTATAGCAATGGTATGAGGGGAGGGAGGGATGGAGGAAAGGAGAAAAAAGAGAGAGGGGGAGGGAGGGAGGGAGAGGGAGAGATTGGCATACACATACACGGAGAGAGGGAGATACAGACAGACACAGAGACAGACAAACACACACAGACAGAGGGAGAGAGATAGACACATATAGAGGGAGAGGGACACACGCACACACACACACACACACGCACGCACACACACACACACGCACGCGCACACACACGCACGCACACACACACACACATACACACAGAGATAAGAGGGAGAGAGATAGATGTATAAACACAGAGAGGGGGAGAAAGAGAGGGAGCAAGAGAGAGCTTAAATTTCCAGGTCTTTCTGCAATCTCTAGGCTTTTGTCTCTTCTGCTGTCTCCTAAACCAAAGAAGCCATGCAAAGCTTTCCTTCCTCAGGGTTTAAATCCCTTTCAGCCTGAATCCTGCGAAGCAGGTCCCTATGAATCCTGATCCTACCAGCTACCTTTGCACCTCAAATTAACCTTTGAGCAGACTGAGAAGCCACCCTCTCTTGCACCCTCATCTTCCTTAAAGCGGACATCTGACTCCCATTTGGGGGCTGGAAAAGATCTGTGCTCTCTGCCCTTTTCCTTGACCATCTGAGTCCTCTGTGCCCTTCCCCAGCAATACCAAGAGGCTCCAGCTCCTCTCGCTGCTGTTCTGCATCTCACTTTTTTTCTCCCGTGGACGTGGCATCAGTGGTAAGTGGAGGTGTAGGGTGATAAGGGTGGGAGGTTGACCTTGAGTTGAGTCAAGATCTGTTGAGTCAGGGGGATGGGCGTGTAGATCGACCAGCTTCACACAGACTGACAAACACAAAAATGAGTTAGGTCCCTGAAGAAGTAGAGGGAATTCTTTCCTGGGCTCTCTGTTCTGAGCCACCAGGGGGCAGCAGAAATCTAGGTCAAAGACCATGAAAGGACACATTAGGAAGCTAAATACAGGCAAAGCTCGCGGTGGTCTGAGTTCCCACTTTGCTACTGAACCACACCCTAATAAATCACGGTAGCAGGTCACACCCTCCCTCTTCATTATGTGATGTGTTTCTTCTTGGGAATGTTATCCTCCAGGTTTCAGAGTTTCCTATACAAAGACATAGGTCAAATTGTTGAGTTTAAGGGCAGGACAACAATTTTGCTTTGATTAGTGTGTACATGTGTGTGTGATGGGAAAGGAGTAACTTGCAGGCATCCCCAATCCTGCCAGGCTCTCTGGGTGGTGTTTTCTAGATCTGATGATTTGTCTTTGCATTTGGTGGTTAGGAAGGCAGGATGCACACTAAATCCATATTTTTTTCAAGACAGGGTTTCTCTGTGGAACTCTGACTGACCTGGAATTCACTCTGTAGACCAGGCTGGCCTCGAAATCACAGAGATCCACCTGCCTCTGCCTCCCCAGTTCTGGGATTAAAGGCATGCACTACCACTGCCTGGCTTCAAATACCGCATCTTAGTATAATCAAAAGGAGAAAAACATTTCCCAATCTTATAAATTGGTACCAGGTAAATCAAGTCTATGGTATCAGGCTGGAGAACAAAGTTTCATTTGAACACAACACAGTTTGGGATACTGGACTGGGAGATTTTGACTCAATACTTGGAGGCGACTAGAACCTTCTTGTTTCCTTGGCCCTCTCCACCCCTGCATTGTAGTAATCCCTTGGGAGACAGAGTGAGTGCTAAACCTCTAATCTATGGTTTCTGCCACTTCCCTAGAGTTTCCCAAAGTTGTGCTCTTCCAGGGTCTGCAGTCGCTAGTGTTCAGACTGAGCTGGAAGCTGACTCATCTGGGACCACAGTCCCGTTCATTACTTATGGGCACTAGGGTACTGTGTCATGTCTAGATTCCATTGTGAGGCTCCATTGTTGGCAGAATTTAAATACTCAGAGCACAGGCAGTGACCCTCCATACTATGACAGCTCAAGACTTGGAGCTCCCAGCTCCAGTGTCCTGGTTTCTATAATGCCACCAACTGGGACGCCAGAGACGTTTGGCCAGTTGATCTGGGGCAGTTGCAAGATCTGAATGAGAGTTATTTTGATCCATAACGAAATTCAGCAACAAAGTCAGCTAGAGAGCAAGGAAGGAGGATGCCGCAGGGATTGACTCAGGAAAGGGTATGGGCTGGTTTCTGTAGGGGGTCATAGGTCCTTTATATCAGAAGTATGCTGGCTGAAAGTGATGCATGAATTCACACCAGAGCTGAAGTTCAGGAACATCTCAGTTAAAATTATCTACAGCTGACCAGGGGAAAAGATTAACGAGGCAAGGGAATGAGCGAGAGTTTTGAGCTCTAAGTGTCAGAAGTTTCAGTTTTATTCACTCAGCACGGCGTCAGCATCTTTATCTCATCCTTTGCTTGCTTCCACTTCCTGATTGGTTGGCTGGTTTCAGATTAGTCTTTCTGTTAATAAGTAAAATTTGTGATTATTATTATTATTATTATTATTATTGCTAAAAGGACCCAATCGACTGGTCTTTTTTCTGAGATTAAAAGCTGCATAATAGAAAATGGATTATAAAAAACAATCACATTTTGGGGAAATAGTTGTGGTTTCTTTTTTTCCCCTTGTTTTTATTGAGCTATACATTTTTGTCTGCACCCTTCCCTTCCTCTCCTCTCCCCTTCTACCCTCTCCCATGACCCCCACTGCTCCCAATTTACTTAGGAGATTTTGTCTTTTTCTCCTTCCTATTCAACTGGTTCTTAAGGTATCACACCAATTCCATAGCCATCTATTGCTAATGTTCTACCTAGAAACAATCAATAAACAGGTGTAATGCTAGGTTGTGGGAATATGCAGGTTGGCAAAACAGCTCCTCTGCTTTGGAGTATGAGGCCTCTGTCGAGACGACAGGCATCGGACTATGACTGGTGTCTTCCCTATGCTCCTGATGCTCCACCAAACAGCAACCGAAATAGCTTCTTATGAGGTTCTCAAAGACCCAGGCCATTGCCATAGTAGTGAGACGCTGGTCTGAGAGAGAGGACCTCTGCATCCATGTCCTTCTGAGTGAAAAGCAGGGAATCAACTGCTTTGGGCTTTAAATTTCTTCCTTTTTTTTGTTATGATCTCTCTCTCTCTCTCTTTTTTTAAATTATTAGTTCTTTGAGAGTTTCACATAAAAGGTTTTAGTCATATTTATTCCCCTTCCACAACCCTCTCAGATCCATCCCCTACCTTCTCTTTCTAATTTCATGCCTTTTTTTTTCTTTGTGTAACCCAAGTTGACAGGGTTATGTGTAACCTGGACATAGCCCAGGTTAGTGTCAAACTCTTAATAATCATCCTGCTTCAGACTCCTGAATGTTGGGGTTACACAATAAAGCCACCATGATTGCCGAGGCTTTGGTTTTCAGCTCGCAAACCCCTCATCCGCATCTGGAAGTAATTTATGGGGTCCTTGCTCATTTTACCCTAGCATCTTTTTTAAGTGTCACCTGTAAAACCGTGATCCCAACCATCCAGCATCATCAAGAGTAGAGTGAGGCCCCAAGGGGCTTACCTGCTTATTAATGCAATAGAATTCGCAGAGGTATTTACTTTTAAAGTTGTTCCTGTTGCCCCCACAGCCAGAGAAGACGAAGGGCTCACATAGCAATGTGATCTTATTGAAGTAGTATCTGTACAGATGCAAGCCACAGAATCCCCTCCTTACAGGGTGGTTGCAGAGCGCTGTCGACAAGAGTCCAGGTTCAGAGCCTCTTATTAAAAGAATCATCACTCTTTTCTTTATGGACCCAGGCTACGAAAGTTCTCCCCTACCCCCATGTAAAACTCATTTTATCACTGAGGCGCAAGCTAGAATACCTCTAGCATGAACTTTGCTCTTTGTGTGATACAGGACAGTAAACCTGAGCTGTCAGTAGCCCGGGCCAGTGTGATGGAGGACACTTGGAGAAGGACCACACCCTCCACCTTCCTCGGTATTCCTTATTCACATTAAGCTTCTGCTTCCTGAATCTCTACATGCTTTCTTTGACTCTGGAAGCAAACATCTCACTTGGTATCTGTAGGCACTCATCATTTGGACCCTTCCTTTAGTCCCCCATCACCCAGAGCACATGTATGTCAAAGAGTCCACCTTGCACATCTACGCCTGAAGTCTTGGTTTCTGCTGGCAGATCCTCCCTGCCTCCAGGTCTCGAGAGGCCTCCCTTACCCTGCTTCCCTTTGCTCACCCACCTAGACTTACCGGTTTTCGCTGGTAGTGTAGAAGTGGATTCCAGCAGGAGCCATGGTGACCATGTTGGAGACAAAGAAAGTTAATGTTGTTCTTAATGTGGCCCAGCTGTAGTCCTTTTCACGACTGGGAATTCTCTATCTCTGCTCTGAGCTTCCCAAAGTGCCCATTAAAATTCAAATTAAAAGCAAATTAAGTAAGAAGCATGGAAGTGCTGCTGATGATCTTGCCCCCCCCCCCCCAATTCAAGGAATGTAACACAGTGGTCCTATGAATATGTATTGAATAGAAATAAAACTCATTATCTTAGATACCCTAAGATAATTCCAAGTTTTATGATTCTCAATCTGATTTGTTCCTGAAACTCTTTGGGAGAAACTTAAGTTGATTTTACTTTTCTGTATTCCTTTTTCTCCAACCTCTAATGGGAACTCAATATGATCAGACGCCTCGGACCCATGGAATTTGATATAAGAGGAGAGTTTGGCTAATCCTCAGCCATACCATCCAGAGGACCCGACTCTCTCTCTCCTTCATGGTTTTCCTCCCGTTCACACGTTCATTTTTGCTTACCTCCAAGATACCCGCTTTCACACAGCTCTCTTTTGACTCCTGGAGCAAACAACTCACTAGAAAGCATCTGCATGAGCATGTAAAAAGTGAGGAGCCACAGGGCAAGGCGCATCCCCCGAGCCTCCATGGTGCTCCTGACAGCCGACGATGGAGATCCTGGGGCTATGCTGAGGTGATATGTCTTAGGGGAGGAGCTTCTACTTCTCTGAAAAGTTGAACCCATGTTCGAATTGAATTTCCCCAGGGCCTGGACAGGGTGCTGGTGTATCCGGAATCAGTGTAGTGAACAGGACAGTGAGTCCTTGGGTACCCAGCCATGGAGTTTGAAAGACCATGTTTGATAGAGCCCTAGGGATGAACCCCATCTCTTTCTCTTCATCTATGGGCTACAGCTGCTTAGAACTCAGGCCATTGATGTTTCTTTTCATCATTTTAAAAAGTAGTTCATAAACAACGGGTTTCATTATAGAGTTTTTATATTTGCTTTCTCTGTCCGTCCCCAACCCCCAGTTTCCTGGCCCCACTGCTCTTGGTCCTTCCCACCCACTCCCCCTGCCTTCATGTCACACGCGTTCTCTTACTCTCTCTTTATCCTTTTTCAAAATCTCCTTCCCTAAGGTCATCTTTCCCCTCTCAAGTTTCACGGCCTATTCCTGCTTGTACATGTACACGCATGCCTAGAACTTAAATCTGTTCTGAGAGCAGCCATGTAGTATTTGTGCTTCTGAGTCTGGGGTTTGTTGCTTGAGACAATAACTTCCACTTCCCATCATTTTCCCTGCAAATGCCCTGCTCTCTCCTCTCTCTCTGTCTGGTCGGATGAAACTTTGCTGTGTACATGTACCACCTTTCCCATCCTTCCTTTTTTTTTTTTTTTTTTTTTTTGGAGACAGGGTCTCTGCGCAGCCCCAGTTGTCCTGGAACTCATCTTGTAGATTAGGCTCTCTGGCCTTGACTACGCAGAGACCCTCTTGCCACTGCCTCACAAGGTCTGGGATTAAAAAGACATGTGCTATCGCTGCCCTGTACTAAGTTTTTATCTATCTGTCTGTTTACCGATATACAGGTTGTTCCATTTCCTATTGTAGTTGTTGGCTTTTACTCTAGCCTCACGTTGGGTGACAAGATATAGTTGGTTGTTTTACTCTTGGCTTTTTGGGGGACCCATCACCCAGCTCCCAAATAAATCACATAGAGTCTCATTCTTGCTTATAAATGCCCAGCCTTAGCTTGGCTTGTTTCTAGCCAGCTTTTCTTAACTTATCCAATCTACTTTTTACTTCTGGGATTTTTTCTTTTCTTACTTCTGCGTATCTTACTTTCATTCTTATTCCATGGCTGGGTGTCTGGTGTCTGGGTGTCTGGGTGACTGGGTGGCTGGGAGGCTGGCTGACTGTGTAGCTGGGTGACTGTGTGGCTGGCTGACTGTGTGGCTGGGTGGCTGGATTGCTGGGTGGCTGGGCCCTGAAGTCCTCCTCTCCTTGTTCTCTTGTTCATTTTTCTTACTCCTCCCAGATTTCTCCTTCTATTTATTCTCTCTGCCTGGTAGCCCCGCCTATCCTTGCTCCTGCCTCGCTATTGGCCGCTCTGCTCTTTATTAGACCATCAGGTGTTTTAGGTAGGCAAGGAATCACAGCTTCACAGTTAAACAAATGCCACATAAACAAAAGTCACACACCTTAGAATAATTTCCCACAACATCCTAAGACTGCAATTTACGAACAGTGGGCATGGTTGTGCAAACGTATTTATGGTGGTTGGGTTTGCGTGCAGGGGTGTGCAGCCGGGTCTTATGGCTCTTTCAGTTTTAGGTCTTTGCTTGAGAAAATGCTTTCATGATTTCCAGAGTGGCCACACAATTTGCATTCTCCCCAGGAGTGAATATATGTCTTCTTTTCCTGTATCTTTACCTGCTTTGTTGCCGTTTACTTTCTTGGTGGCAGACCTTCTGGATGGGTAGAAGTAAAAAAACAGTTTTAAGGGGACTGAAGAGATGACTCAGCAGTTCAGAGTGTGTGCTGCTCTTGCAGAGGACCTGAGTTCAGTTCCCAGCACCCATATGAGGTGGCTCACAACCTCCTGCAACTCCAGCTTCCAGGGGTGTCTAATGTCTCAGGCGCCTGCACTCAGATGCATATACCACCACCATATATATTAATTATATATATTTAATGTAAAATACATTTTTAAAATATTCTATTTTATGTGTTTGGGTGTTTTGCCCGCATATCTGTACTGCTTGTGTGCTTGGTGCCTGCAGAGACCCTGGAGCTGGAGTTATAGGAAGTTGTGAGGTGCCCAATATGGGTGCTGGGAATGGAACAAGAACAGCAAGCACTAGGTCACCCAGTCTTCTCTCCAGTACCCTGTTTTTAAATTTGAGACAAGTTCCTACCAAGTTTTTCAGACTCATTCTATAGTCTTGGCTGGCCTTGACCTCATTCTGTAGCCCAGGCTGGCCTTGACCTCATTCTATAGCCCAGGCTGGCCTTGACCTCATTCTAGCCCAGGCTGACCTTGACCTTATTTTGTAGTTCAGGTTAGTCTTGGATTTAAGAACCTCCTGCCTCAGTTTCCCAGGTAGTTGTGATTACAGACCTATGTCTTCCAGTTTGTTTTTCTGGGTTGAGAAAATTATTTCCCAGAATTTAGGACACCTGGATATTTTTCATTAAGGTCCTCTTTGTGATTATATACAAACACGGGAAAGGAATGCTAGAGCCGTGTGTCTCAGGGAGAGAAAGTGAGGTGTTCCATCTCAGAACCCGGTGCTTCAGATGAAAGAGACACAGGACAGAAAACAAGGAGGGTCATTAGCTCTACCACCGCGTTTTCCGCTCGGCCTACTGGAAAACCACCAGTTCCTGAGTAACGCTTGGAGCACAGCAGTGACTGTTAGCACTTCTGAGGGAGAGGAGGGGTCAGTTTCAGACTAAGCAATTTCATGGACATGCTTCCCTCTCGGTGGTTCGTTTCTCTCTGTGGCGGTGGCTTCCTTACCCTTACTTCTAGCCCCAGGGCTAATTCTCATGCCCTTGATGAGGATGGAAAAGAAAGGCTGTATTTTTACCCGGAGAGAGAAACTCAGTGCTGGAAAGAGGGCTCAGCAGAGGACCAGGGCTTCCTTCCCAGTGTCTACAAGGTGGCTCACAGCTGTTTCTAAACTCCAGTTCCACCGCTGTCTTCTGGCTTTTGTGGGTGCTGCATGCACCAAGCACACATAGATACATGCAAGCTAAGCACCCATGCACTGCTGCTGCTGCAGCAATAAAACAGCAGGACAAAAAAGAAAAAGAAAGAAGAGTTGCAGAGGAAAAGTGCTTGATTGACTTACACTTTTTCATCACAGGAAGTCAGGACAGGAACTCAAACAGAGCAGGAATCTGGAGGCAGGAGCTGATGCAAAGGCCATGGAGTAGCGCTGCTTAACATGGCTCACTTAGTAAGAAATTAGGGCTAACAGTCCAGGGGTGGTACCACCCACAACAGCCTGGGCCCTCCTCCACCAATCACTTATTAAGAAAATGCCCTACTGCTGGATCTTATGGAAGCATTCTTTTTTCAATTGATGTTCCCTTCTTTCATATAACTCTAGCTTGTGTCAAGTTGACATAAAAATTAGACATACATGTGTACATGTGTGTGTGCATGACACACACACACACATACACACACATCTACGATGCAGAGACTCCAATTCAAACTACAATGTGAGGTTTAAAAATGCTCCCCACCTTCAGAAGCCAAGAGGCCAAGTAGACGAAAACTTAACACCATGGAGAAGATGGATTTCACAGGTCTTTGAAGAACATGCACAAAAACAAATACCAGCTGACATCTGGGCATGGCGATATATGTCTGTAATTTCAGCCCTTGAGGAGGTGGAGGCAGGAGGATCAGGGGTTCAAGATCAGCTTGTGTCTACTGGCTAGATTTTACACCAACTTGACACAAGCTACGGCCATTTGCGAGGAGGGAAGCTCTACTGAGAAAGTGCCTCCACCAGATTGACTTGAGGGGAATCTTGCGAGGCATTTTCTTGAGTGATGTTTTATGCAGGAGGGTCCAGCCCATTGTGGGTGATGCCACCCCTGGGCTGGCGGTCTTGGGTAATATAAGAAAGCATGCTGACCTTAATCCATACTGATCCAGTAAGACACAGGGTGTTACTCCAGTTTTTTTTGTACCTATGGAGGTTTGGTTTGTTACTGAGTATGTGGTCAGTTTTAGAGAAGGTTCCATGGGGTGCTGAGAAGAAGGTATAGTCTTTTGTGTTTGGGTGGAGTGTTCTGTAGATGTCTGTTAAGTTCATTTTATTCATGACATCTATTAGTCTCTTATTTCTCTGTTAAGTTTCTGTCTAGTTGACCTGTCCATTGGGGAGAGTGAAGTGTTGAAGTCTCCTATTATTAGTGTGTGGGGTTTAATGTACGATTTAAGTTTTAGTAATGTTTCTTTTACATATGTGGGTGCTCTTGAATTAGGGTCATAAATGGTTGGGATTGAGACTACATCTTGATGGATTGTTCCTGTGATGAGTATAAAACGTCCTTCTCCATCTCTTCTAATTGATTTTAGTTTAAAATCTATCTTGTTAGATATTAGGGCAGCTACATCCACTTGTTTCTTAGGTCCATTTGATTGGAAAACCTTTTCCTAACCCTTTACTCTGAGGTAGTGTCTGTCCTTGAGGTTGAGGTGTGTTTCTTGTATACAGCAGTAGACTGGATCCTGGTTTTATATCCGTTCTCTTAGCCTGTGTCTTTTTATAGGTGAATGGAGTCCATTGATATTAAGAGATATAAATGGCCAGTGGTTGTTAATTTCAGTTATTTTTCAGTAGTAGTGTTTGACAGCTCTAAGGGGAGGACTCGAGTGTAGTTCTGAGCCATCTAGCACTAACTAGTCACTTAGATGGGAGGCGCTGATCCTAGCCCTCTCACATCTGGCTCTCAGGAGCTACTAAACCACTGGTTCCTCTGGCACACCGTTCAAGTTCTCATCGTTGCCTTTTCTGAGTCCGTCTTGAGTCAGAGGATGAGTCCACCGTGCTCTTCAACTCATCCTTTCGGCTAAGGGGATTTGTTTGTGGTCAACCTTCTTTTCTGTTTTCTTCTGAACGTCCCT